CATCAAGTTATTCAGTATTAGAAATAGAGAGATTATAATTCTTTGACCATAATCTTCTACTCCAATAAATTGAAATTCTTTAAATCAATAATTTTTAATTACTCCATGTTATTTTTCTCGATTTTTCTCGTTTTCAAAATGACCTTTTCTTAATAATAAAACAAGTTTCAAATCGTTGAATTATTATTTACATAGATATTTTTTAACTGATAACTCAAGTACGAAGAACTGGGCAGATTGATAACAATATAGAAAAATAAGATCGGAAAACTAACATCGTCATGGTTACAATAGGATTTTAGGATAAAGGGTTCATTTCAAATGAAATTTAATATCTGTGACCAAATATATATATATATATATATATATATATATATATATATAACTGCTTATACATCCTGTAGTTATAATCTAAAAATTATTGTGAATGAATACATAGATATGCATTCATATTCATGAACAGTGAAATGATACTAGTCATATAGATAATATATCAACATAATAGATGTACATGAAAATTCAATTGCATTACGGGTATTGCTTGCTTACTTACTTACTAACTCTTGCTGACCTCAAGGGCCAACGGATCCAACGTATTTAGCTTAGATAACTTGTAAGGAATACTTGTATCTCCTGAGTAATGGCTTTGGTAGTTTACCGAACTGTCTTGACATTTGTATTGAAAATCCTGATTTTGGTGTTGATCGATATTTGTTTGGAGTTCCAGATATTTTTTAATTGTAGAAATGCAGCCCTTGCTTTGCCGATCCGTGCCCTCACATCTGCATCGGATCCACCTTGGTCGTCGATGATGCTGCCAAGATATGTAAAGGTGTTAACGTCCTCCAAGGCATCTCCATCAAGAATGACTTGGTTGGCCCATGTTTTGTTGTATCGCATAATCTTGTTTTTCTCATTACGTTTGTTGAGACGTAGTACTACTGAGGCTGCTGCTTCACCGGTCGTCTTCTCTTGCATTTGTTGTTGCGTGTACGATAGAAGAGCCAGATCATCTACGAAGTTCAAATTGTCTAACTACATCCTAGATGTCCACTGTATACCATGCTTCCCTCTGGGTGTTGATGTTTTCATAATCCAGTCGACCGCCAGGAGAAAGAGAAAGGGTGAGAGTGGGCAACCTTGCCTGACACCGGTCTTCACCGCAAAAGAGTCTGTCAGCTGTCATTCGTGTACGATTTTGCAGTTTAGTCCATCACAGGAAATCCTTATGGTGTTGACTATCTTCTCAGGCGCGCCGTAGTGTCGAAGAGACCTCCATATTGTTGTCCTGTCCACTCAGTCGAATGCTTTCTCGTAGTCAATGAAGTTGATGTATAGTGGTGAGTTCCCTTGATTGTTCTACAATGGTCCGTAATGATGCAACTTTGTCGGTGCACGATCGATCCTTACGAAATCGAACTTGTTAGTCTCGAAGTTGGGCATCTGTGAAGTCTTTCACTTTGTTCAGCAACACCCTGTTGAAGACTTTGCCTGGTATTGGGAGAAGGGTGATGTCTCGTCATTCTCACACTTGCTGAGATTGCCTTTCTTTGGTACACTGATCAGGTATCCTTTCTTTCCAGTCTGTTGCTACCTGTTCTTCATCCCAAATCTTGTTTATTATAATGTGGAATATTTCTGCAGTTGCTGCCACGTCTGCTTTCATTGCCTCTGATGGAAAGTTGTCTGGACCTGCTGATTTGCCGCCCTTGTTTGTCTGATTGCCATACTGATCTCTTCAATTTTGGTGGGCCAACATCGATTTGGAGGTCCAAAATAATGCTACCATCCTGTGTGGGTTCAGTGGGGCTGGTCGATTCAAGAGTTCCTTAAAGTGCTCTACCCACCTGTTTCGCTGTTCTTCAGTGTTGCTGATTATTTTGCCTTCCTTGCTTTTCACTGGTCGTTCTGGTTTACGATGTTTTCCAGCGTGCTTCTTTGTTGAATCGTACAACTGTCTCAAGTTTCCCTTTTCGCGCAGCCTTTAGGGGCGTAACTACTATATCTTGCGTGTATTTGCGTTTGTCGGCTCTAATGCTCCTCCTCTCTTGCTTGTTTGCTTCTATGTTCAGCTTGTGCCTTGGCTTTTCCTGCTCTTGATTGGCTGATGTTAATTACTGCCTTCCTCTTCCTTTTTTCTTGAATTTATTCATCCATTCAGTCTAATAGTGCTACTTATGGCCCAAAAGTTCCTGACATGTTGATATTACCACAAAAAAAAATACAGAAAAATCCATCTTTATCTTTCATTCAATCACAATGTAAACACTTTTAATATGTACATAGTTCAACGTAATTATTCGATACTTGAATAACGAATTTAAAGTGTTTTAGCATATGGTGATCTATTGAAAAATTTCACACTTTTTTAAGTAAGTAAACTAAATGAAAAAGAGTTTCACATCAAAGATAATATGTAAAGCTTAAGTAAAACAAGCAGAGTGGACAACAGTTGGTTGTGAGTATTTCTTCTAACTAATATCTTAACTTTTTCGAACTTATAAAAGTGATTTTCTTAATTCAGAAGAAAGAATTTACTCACGGAATAATTTAAACGTAGGTTTTTGCAATCAGTAGACATTATTTGAATGAATATTAATAACAAGCGGTTACTTTAGAAATTTTCATCATAATTTAGGATTACTTTGGAGCAAGAAACCATGACTAGTTATGAGATAAAATTTGATCTAGTTACAAGTGATCATTTTCATTTACTTTGAAATAAGTTAATTGTCTAAAAACACAATTCGCCAGCTGTATAATGTTGGGCTGGATTATCCGTTTCATAGTTCCTGATGTTATCGTTCCACTTGGTGATGGATTTGATGAACACTTCTCGATGCTGTTTTATGAATATTCACTTGCTATTCCGTTGTGACTCTATGTGCACTGATAACAGTTCAGTTTGTCTTCATTTATGTGAACAGGGTTTGCGTACACCTTGATTTTCACGCCATTAGCTTGTTGATATTGTTTATAGTATTCCATTAGTATGTGTTATTTTCCAACCTACTTGTGTTTCAAGTTCTCTTGTATTAGGTTTGGTTAATATAACATCAAGTATTCCAATTCAACCGAACAAGTTATTAGTCAGTTATGATTGACTTCTTTTCGAAGTATATTCTGGTAATTTGAAAAAAAGCAGCAAGAACTTTCTAATCAGAGGTTAGTTATGATTAGCAATTTTTCAACAAAATTTCGATATACGATTAAAATTAATAATCATCCATTTATTCTTGAGGTGTTCTTCATCGCAATAGAATTCATTTTTTCTCATTTAATTACTGTCAATGGCAAGTTATTTCATTTGGAAAATATTCTTTATTGGAAGATAATTAATTCATTACTCAAAGTTATCATTTCGATTGCTTTCATGAAATGTTTCAAACCTAGTAGAATAAAGTGTATTTGACTTATAGTAATTGCTCAAACTGAGTATTTTAATGGCCACTAATTTTTATGGTAGTCATAGGAGGTTACATAATCAGTGAGAAATATCACTGATCAGTAAACTAACACTGATACCCCTGTGAGGAATACAGTATTATTTTAAGCTACGTTATACACTTACAAAATAAAGAAATTTTTTTCAACATATTCTGACATGTAATAGATCACAGAAGTAAAAGTCAAATAGTCTTTTATCAACTTTATTCTTACTCAGGTTTTTAATAATAATTTTCAATTTACTACTAATACTTTCAATATAAGTTATGTCATCACTGTTAACTAACAAAATGTTGTAAATTTCATGTTATTCACGGTAAATTATTGAATATAAGCACTTAAATACCATCATTTATGCAATTTAAGTGATAATTCTCTGTAATTATAACAGTTCATTTTTTTATCTCTTACTAGAAAGAGAACCCCCTTCCAAATCATAAATCAACAATGAACATTAAAAGCAATCTACTGATAATTAATTTACCCTTTCAAATTTTAATAATGAGTTTGTTAAAACACTAGTAAACGTGTATATTTTAAGTTACATAATAAACTCACTGTATTTTCATTCTAAATATAAAAAGAAATTTTGAGTTATAAAGTCTATATAAATATATATATATATATATATATATATATATATATATATATATATAGATTTGTTGGTTTGATTAGGTAGCAATTTAAAAAAAAACATCAGTCGTTCCAGTCTTAATTTAGCTATTCTTATAATTACTAAGTTTTTTTTATTTGCTATAGTGTAAATGTAGTCGGAATTTCTAACATGAAAGTAAGTAATAGACACAAGTTATTCAACTTTTGATACTTTCAAAGTTAGTGTTATTATTTTTATTATACTTCACAAAAGAATGGTAATTGAGATTTGCTTCCGCTTTTTCTACTTACGTGCGTTTAAAAATTTGTGTCACATCATGCTTATTCAATATGTAGAATAAAAGTAATAAGTAGTGTGGTAGCGGCTTGTTTTTTTTTTCAGTGACATTATAAATATATAGTTGTTTTTTTTATTTCCCTTTTGATCATGCTCTCTCTCGAAACAGCATTTTAATCAAATTATAAATCAAATGAATGTTGATTTTCCAGTATAATGTCAAATTGCATAACGTAGGCTAGAAAAAAACTGTTAATTTAAACATGCTACTGAATAGACAAAAGAGTAGATAAATCAGATAAACAAAAGATATAGCTCAATGAAGTGAGTTGCAGTCGGTTGTTAAATAGTTGAAGGAATGAAAGCTAGCTCAAACAAAAGTTAATATGCATTTAAATAATAAAAAAAATTAGTCTGTCATAGAAAGTTGATATTTCCAGTCAAAAATGAGTTTTCAAACCTCCCACTCAACAAAAATTTCAAATACATTGTATTGTTCATACATACAAACATTGACATTATTGATTATATTGAAAATTTTAAAAAGTGACAATACACAACTCCATTTATTGCTATCTAACAAATACAAGTTAAAAAAAAAAGAGAATTTTCACAAAAATTCACCATAATATCTGTCTGGTATAATTTATTATTATTATGTTTAAGCATATTGTATAATATCATAACAAATTTTTACCAAATCGTTACATTTTTCATTCATTAATGATTTCAGTAAATCTGAATCATTATGATATGAATAGAAACAATTTTCTGGTGCATTGGTATTTGCTTCGTTCAATATCTTCTCGAATATTGGTTTTACTATTTTAGATAATTCACTAAAAAAAGTTACGAAGATTGAAAAAAAATAATAATAAAGTTAATAAATTACGTTTCATAAATTCGTTTCAATAATTCGTTTTCTGATGGTGAATTCTCATCATAAAATTATCATGTTTTCTAATAATCTTAATCTTTAGGCTAATATATACTTCATATTTACAGTTGAATAATGTTTGAACAGAGAAATGAAAAGACATATTTTGTGAGATAGTACCATTTCGTGCTTTCTCGTCAGTCACATACAAGAAACATGTTATTTGTGTAAATACAGTTTTAAAGATAAGGTCACAATTTCTTATTTAGCATGACATTCACTCACTAGAACCATAGTTAACAAAGGTCAACATACAGTTGTTATGAACGCATGAAGTTGGACTTTTCCGACCAATCAAGATAGCTTCAAGTAGTTTGAGTGTGTGTGGGTTTTGATGACATGTCACAACTCTAAAGACTGATTTTGGGTCAATTTGATGACCACTCATCATTAGATGTTTTGCAATGGACGAGGCTGGGTTTCTTGATCGATTTTGAAATGATGAGCTAGGTTGATTAATCATGGATTTGATTAACCATTTTGGAATATGTTCCCCTATCCTGTCCTCCAATCGGCGATCTGTCCTACCCAAGTAACTTTCTCCGCAGTTACATGTGAATTGGTAAATACAGTGGGATTTGGACTGAATCGGTCTTGGACGGGGAATATAAGAAATAAATCGATATCAATGAGAAGAGAAACATTTTACGGTAAATATGTGTGTGTAAATAAGATCTCAAGAGGTAAGAAAAGTAGGAAAAATGAAATGTTGTTACTGAAAGATACCACAGATAATTTCAAGATTCATAACTGCTGAAGTAGGTAATTCACTTGAGTTACAGTACTGACTCAGTTAAAGTAGAAGTTTACCACTTAATCTAGATGCAATAGTGTTATAATTCGAGGTGAAGACCGGTGTCAGGCAAGGTTGCACACTCTCACCCTTTCTCTTTCTCCTGATCATCGACTGGATTATGAAGACGTCAACAGCTGGAGAGTAGCACGGTATCCAATGGACAGCTAGGATGCAGCTGGACGATTTGGACTTCGCAGATGACCTGGCTCTTCTATCGCACACGCAACAACAAATACAAGAAAAGACGACCAGTGTAGCAGCAGCCTCTGCAGCAGTAGGTCTCAACATACATAAAAGGAAAAGTAAGATTCTACGATACAACACAACATGCGCCAACCAGATCACGCTTGATGGAGATTCTTTGGAAGACCTTGACAACTTTACGTATCTTGGCAGCATCATCAACAACCAAGGTGGATCCGGTGCAGATGTAAGGGCGCGGATTGGCAAAGCAAGGGCTGCATTTCTACAGTTGAAAAATATATGGAACTCAAACAAATGTCAATCAACACTAAATTCAGGATTTTCAATACAAATGTCAAGACAGTTATACTGTATGGAGCGGAAACATGGAGAACTACGAAAGGCATCATCCAGAAGATACAAGTATTTATGAACAGTTGTCTTCGCAAAATACTTCGTATTCGTTGGTCAGAAACCATCAGCAACAACTTAATTCGGGAGAGAACAAACCAGATTCCAGTGGAGGAGGAAATCAGGAAGAAGCGGTGAAAGTGGATAAGACACACACTACGAAAAGCACCCAACTGCGTCACAAGAAACGCCCTCACATGGAGCCCTCAAGGTAAAAGGAAAAGAGGAAGGCCAAGGAACACATTACGCAGAGAAATAGAGAAAGATATGAGATGAATGAACAAACATTGGACAGAACTGGAGAGGGAAGCCCAGAACAGAGTTGGTTGGAGAAAACTGGTGGGCGGTCTATGCTCCATTGGAGGGGGGGGGTAACATGCGTAAGTAAATAGTGTTACAAAGCACCAGTTTACATCCAACAATTAGTTCTTATAAATATATATTGAGATTTCGAAATCGGAGAAAATAATTCTTAGAATTCATCTTATAATTAACAAAGTCAAAAATCTGAATATGCACGTCTCTCATCAAAAAAAAACGTGTCTTTTATTTGACTGTGGAATTCTTATAAAATACGATTGGGCAATAGATGATCTATCATTAATCAACAAAGTACTTTACATATTATAAATCAAGCTTTATATAGTCAATAGTTGCTTGTATCTTGGTAATGCTACACCAATGATAAAATCTAATCAACTTATACTTAACGCACAGGGTTCTTAAAGCTAGTTAATCCCTTATTTTTCAATATAGATTTATTGAGACTGTTGTTTACCATTGAAATAATAAATTATTCATTGTTAGACCACGATTAAAAATTGGAAGCACAGGACGGCCGTTTCGTTCTGACATGTGACACTTCAACAGTGCTCGCCCAAGATCCTTACTCGAGGGAATGGAAACCAGGGCCTTCGGTCTCACGCGCGAACGCCTAACCTCTAGACCACTGAAATAGCATCTAAAGGTATGAGAGTCTAACTTTGATCAACCTAAGGTTTTGCGCAACCTCAATCCCTTATTTATTTTTTTTCACAGCTTCTAATATAATATAATTTCAATAAAAAATCTATCACTCTTTTTACTACTCACATAACGAATTCTGTGTTTATATATAATTAAGATTAACGTAGACCTATAACATGATGACACACTGTAAGAGACCAACTCAAAGCAAAATATGAACCAACAAGAAAAAATATAATAATCTTAATCTTTAATAATCAACTACAACCTAAAATATTAATATACATTATCTGCAAAATTCAAACACACAAGGTTGAATAAATATAATTGCAAAAGTAACAAAGAGAATTACCATCGAATCTTCTCACAACTGTCATGTTCTGAAGATTTTCTCAAGAAATTATATAAATGATATAGATTACATTGTAATTTTTGTGATTTAATATGATTTGTTTTATCATCAGTAAATATATCATAGTTTGGCACAAATATTTTATGTATTAAGTTAGAATAATGTTTATATATATCAATACCATCATTGTCACTATTTAGAACATGCTCTATAACTTCATTTTCAATATCAAATAACTTGTTAAAATCTATTGTCTTTGGTTTCAATGCATTATATTCATTGAGGATTGAGGTTTTAGCTAAAATATCTATTTGATTGTCAATTAAATGTTCTCTAGTGTCACATGTTATATAACGAGTTTGAATGAACCATAACAAAAGACGAAACATTTTCCGACGAACATATGGATTTAATTCAGATTGAACAATATGATATAAGTGATTTTGAACTTGTTCTGAATTCTTATTATCCTTATTGGAATCAGATATTGTTTCTAAAGCTGAATAAGAATAATAAAACATAACATTATCATACATACAATTCAATAATACTTTATTTAGTGGTTTGGCAAATGGCTTTTAAATTACATATAAAAGTGTTATTATGATCATTGTGAATCCATTTCGTGTGGAAATTATCTACATCAGAATAAGTTAACCGGTTACTTTTAGTAATAAAGTGATGTCTAATGTCGAGATGTTTGTTATTACTTTTTTTACATGCTTTCACTTCAGACAACCTGTGTACATCAATAATAGAAAAAAGGGGCAGAATGCCAATGAAGGTTTTGTTCCAATATTATTTAGTGTACAACAAAAGTAGTGTATTTATAGATGTCTAAGAGGCTGTGACTCCAGAACTTTCTGGCAACATTCTATATGTGATAAAACGTGACACGTGGTACTTGATTTCCCTGATGGTTTTGAGGAGCTGCTATTCAACAGTAACTGCAAAAAAGCAAATTTTGGTGTTTCCTGGGCTTGTCTGATGAAAGATTCTTTTGAAATCCCCAAGATAAAGTAAATGTACTTGATGAAACCGGTTAATCAAGACGTCGTTAACGGTTTTTCATACTCTCCATGTAGGAAAAAGTCTCTCAAATTACTTACATGCTTATCTATTCCAATAGTTTCCAAATTTTTTAGATAACCTTTAGAAGGGGTATAATCAGCCTAAGAAAATTGTTCAAATGCTACTTCCAAATACTTATCAGAATAATATTTTGCAAAGTATTAGAATTGGAGTGAATTTGATAAAACTAGGCAAAAGGTGAAAACTAAATATTAAACCCAACGAAAAGTTTTGGTATGTTGACTGAATTAGAAATAAACAATAGAAGAGTTTTAAACCAGTATTTGAGTAGTTAACCGAATGGTAATAAATTGAAGACAATTAAAAATAGAATATTTAGTGATCTAACTTTATAAAACAGTGTGAAGTAAAGAGCATACAATAAACTTTATAGACTTACCAAGAGATGAAAATAAAACGTTCTATTTCGTGAGAATAAAAGTGATAAAAGATTTCTACAAAATCATAATTCAAATATATATATATATATATATATATATATATATATATATATATATTTCTATATATGCTCTGTTCAAATTTGAAGCAACCTGTGCTCAGTTGTTTTCGTATCCGTTTTGAATTATTTATTGTATTTACGCGAAATTCAATCATTCAGATAACTTAAAACCTTAGTGTCTCCACATACATTTGAGTTCGCTCATATTTAATTTGCTTAACTTATTTAACCAAGCCATTGGAGTAGCAACAACTTATCATTGTTGTCTGGTTTGTATGAGATGGTACGACTGAGCCTTGCTTAAGCCTACGCGCATAATCATGCTATTCGCTTTGACATTAGTCTTAAAGATCTCGATGACTCTTATATTTTCCTATGTATATAAAGGAACATTCTTATTTTACTAATTCATTCGAACTCTACCGTATTTGATACAAGATTTTCATGTTACAGTAGTTTACTGTTGCATTGTAGTCTATACAGAAATTTCATGATTTCGTAGATAAGATATTATGACCTACCTCTTATAGACATTATTTTAACTTTATTGTTTGGATCATCCTCTAAAATTTTAAGTAAATCATTGAAAATGATTGGTTCTGTAGTTAAATTTTGTTGTTTAACTATAATACATGCCATTTCACGTACACAATTAAATTCATCCATTAAAGCAAAATGAAGTTGTTTGATTAAATCATTGTGTGAAAGACCTGACAATTGAAAAAAATAGTAGTAATGATAAGAAGCAGAATAAATTTATTTTAAAATCTCTGTTGATGTATTAATTTCAAAAACAGTCGTTTTGCGTGAAATTAGTATTCTTAAAGTTGAAATGGTTCATATTTAGATTAATGTTGTTAAATTTGGTTCTATGAGATAAAACTAAATATTATTCTGCTTACAATAACAATTAATGTTAAGCAGACATATACTGCAAGCTCTGGTTGCTTTTTCGGAGATTTGTACTGCTGAGTCCCATGCTAGGATGAAACATCTGACCAGTTTCTTCCATGTTTTCAATTTGTTTCAAACTTCGATCGCTTTTTGTTTTCAATGAAATACAACAATATCCACAACATTGTACTAACAACAATCAATGTTTAATTTATTATAACTCAAAAACTAAGCACATTCTTATGTATTTTGCTACCATTCATGCGTTTTATGTTAGGCCTTATGATACTTTATGAGCTGGTTAAACCAACGTAAGCGGCGAAATGTATAAACTTGGAATCGTATAAGAAAGAGTTTATGATCTATATGATAAGAACCAAAAGTCATTAGCAAAGCTTGAATGCTACATATGTTGGGTAAAAAATGGATTGTCACAGTCGAGTGCTTGTATGATTTTTGAATGTGAACCAACCTTAGGGTATTCAACCACTCTTATTTACAGAAACGTATTTATTTGCATTGGTTCTTAAATAAAACCTACCTGCAAACGAAGCTTATTACTGGAATCATCAATTAAAATCTCATACAACACAGTCGAATATAAACCATATAATCTTTCTATCAATTATAAAATGAATTCATGCAGAAGTGACATATAATTATTGGCAACCATTGTAAACATTTGATAGTTAGTAAATTAAACTTAGAAATTTTGTTGAAAATACAGTAAAATAAAGAAATAAAGCATTAAAAAGTTCCAATACATTACCATCCACAGTCGATTGATGTAATCGCTGAGTACGACGATAATGGTTTGATGTGTAAGCGATCGACGAGGCATGAATTCTTTTTTCCACTGAAGTATTATTGTTATCATTTGACAAGAATGGATCATTGAATAAGTGATTAGACCATAACAAAGATCTATCTATCCCCTTCAAATTTATCTCAAGCGAATGAAGTGCAGCTATCCGCAACATAGTATTCCAGTCTAATAACAGAAGACGATTTATGCGTGCTAGTGTATCCTATGAAAAGGTAATTGAAAAATATACTTAACACCAAGCAAATATATATACGTTCAATATCAACTCACATGAAATGATCACTAGAGAAATGTTACAGTCATTTGATTAGAGTATGTAAATCATATTTCCTAATGAAAACAAGTGTTTGCAACTTCACTTTCAATATTAACAAAGTTCACAAAGCAGGCATAGCTTGGTAAGTGGATGCTATAGTCAAAATACAATAAGTTTATTGATTACCTCAAAATCATATATATATATATATATATATATATATATATATATATATATATATATAGGTTAGTACATTTGTATGTATGTTAACAAAGATATATTCTCAAAGATATCAGACATTATTGTCTTATATAAGTAAGATGCTTCCATTCTCACCTTTCACTCCATGATACTTTATTCCCACGTTATCTGAATAAAATACATAACAATAATGAGCTAAATATGTCATACATCTAACAACTGAACATCACTGCATTATCAATGTATGTTGAATGAATTATTCAAAGACCATTAGAACAAAACATAACCCTCTCACTGCATTGAATAACCAGCACAACTAAATTTCTAAACTGTAGACAACAAGTTCATATTAAATAATGGTATTTGAAATAGTATTTACATACAGTTCATCTAAATACAGTTATAGCTTGTATACGATGAACAATTGAAGAAGTCACATTCAAAAGTTAAAATCAGTCTATAAACTAATTAGCTCAAATGATGTGAACAATATTGAAAGATTTGTATTGTTTTTTCTTTCATGATCGTGCTCAATTATCATCATGAATGATTGAATATTTTGAATTATATGACTGAAGATCTTTCACAGTGATGCAGGTGTATTTACAGTTCATCATTATATAAATATTAAATTATGTATTTGTTCAATCTTTGATTTTATTTATTTTAAAGTTGTATCAACGATCTTTGATTAATGCTGGAGTTGTCTTAATTATTTCAGTAGAAATTATGGATTAATATAAGTTGATTCATACATAGAATTAAATCTGACTTTCATTTTAATTTGTTTCTGAAATCCTCCTGTTAAATTATCAATAGTTAATAGGATACAAAAAAACATTCATGCAAACTATCTACCTACCTTGCTTAAATCACATAATAATATAGATAGAAGCCAACATGAACATAATCTTATTCTCCACTCTGATGAATTCAAAAAATCAGTCAAATAATGTTCAACTTGTAACTTGTTTAGAAAAAAAACAAAGGTAAAAAGTTAATGTTTTCGTTTTATTGTACATAAAATAAAGACTATAATCATAACAATTATAGTCAGTTAGAGTTAATATATATTCAATTCACACAAATTAAATTATCATAATAGGAATGGAAGTTGTTATGATTAAAATCGAAACAAGGAGATGTGATAGATAAATACCGGATTTCTAGAGTTTTGGCGCTGATGTGATTGGATGGTAAAACAAGAGAGCAGGCGGATTGTTTAATTCTTCTGGTAACATCGAATTTCCGCTAACCTACAACATGCTGTTAGTGAGAAAACAGCCAGGATCATTACTTAAAAACTGTTGGTTCATAGTGTAGTTATCCTACGCTAGTTCACCTGATAGCCTTGATGAAGCATAACACATTAACCACAAAACTTTGAATTAGATATCCCATATCTATGAATCCTTCATACAATCCTATAGGATATAATCTTAGCCCACACATCAGCTAAGTTCGGAAAAAAATGCACATACTACGCTATAAGTGAAACAGAACTGAGTAATAAATTAACAGTAAGTTAAGAAAAGTTTAACATACGACAACAGGTTATACATCACAAAATAGCTAACAAATAAAGGAATAAAATAACTTAAATGCTGAATTAGTTACTCAACAAATATTTCCACAAGTTTGGATAAACTTGACGGGAAATTTTAACTTTTTTCTGTACTTATCCTGTTGCAGCAGTAAGATAGATTTAGAACAGTACCAAACTCAGTAAGAAGCTAAGCATAAAAGATAATCCCCAAAAGGGAAGGAGAAGAACATTACAAGAGAATAAAGCTGGTCAACTGGGACCAATTTTATGATCAACCAATCTATTGACCATCATCTTATCTAATGAGTATGTGTCGTTTTCCTCTGTTCAGCATTAGTCGCATGTTACACAGTGTGCATAGGAGAGAGCGGATTAGATTCTCTTCTCTACTAGGCTGTTGATCCTCCTAATCATCAATGAAAGTTACTAATGATATTCAGGTTTCATATACAAACATTTATTTAAAGTAAAACCTACAGGAACCTATATTACTCAAATCGATTCATCAAAGTTAGCAAATTTTAATTTATGATAGTTTCAATGACATACATGAATCATGAAATTCATTAGTTCTGATTTAGACTCAACTATTGTTCAGTCTGACTGGATAGAAAATATCCAATTACTATCTGAGCGGATTCGGTAATTATTTATAACAACCGCCAGATTATCTAAGGTTGTCCTTTATAGTCTTTATTTTGGACTATAACTGACTGTTGAGCAATTTTAAGGAACCATCCATCACTGAGACCGTTTCTATACCTTATATATTTCATCTAGTGGTGGACTTTCCTAAACTATTCAATAATCAACTAATAATCTTCACAGGATATTTATAAACAAAAAGTACATCAGATTTTACTCACATGATTCTTACTAAGACGTAGAATCATTTTAATTTCAGAATAGTAAATCATTCTATTGAAAAAGATATTTGATTTGTTTATATCAAATGTTATAAGATCGGAAAGTGTCGAAACAAACAAGTGCATACATTTATCTTCTAAATCCAATGACTTGTTCAACAGACCATTGAATTCTTGCATTTGTGTATAGAAAGTTTTGTTTGGATATTGTTCAGGAATAAATTGAATTAATTGATCAAACAGTAGACTAGTTAAAATATTCAATACGTTTAGATTGCATTGATCTAGTTTACATAAACAAATTGCTGACGCCCATTTCATTAAATTCAAAGATGTAGATGACATGTTATCATTTGATGATTTCACATTGAATAAGTTTCGATCCATTGTAATCAACTCATTTAATTTTTCAACGCATGTTTGATTAGAATAACCTATTATGTTGAGACTTAAACAAGTGGCTAATATAATGTCTTGATTATTGTGCGAAAGAAAACCACGGAGAATTTCAATCTGTTCACCTGTTAAAATGTGTTAACAAAATGGAAATAATCATTTTCTTAAACTGATTATTTCAAAATTAATTGTCCCTAATAAGTTTAGTGTACATGTTCAATAGGGCTTGGCTCACTATCTCAATATATACTTTATCAATATTCTACTTATTATTATTGACCGAAATGAAATACAGAGATGGGAGTATAGCCCACAGATTGTTTCACCGTTTGATGTGTAATTTCAGTAAAAACGTATTTTTTAGTCATTTCCAACAAATATAACTAAAATCTGAAATATTAATTTTGAAATGCCGGTGACGCAACTGATGGCTTCAGCTTGCTTTGATCTCGGAACTGTTAGGATATTCATCTAATATCTTAAGAGAATTATTGGTCAACTCCTATTGGTTAATTCCTACTGGTTAGTTTTATGGTCGTCCTAGACATCGATGTCACTTCAAATGTTGTTTCCTATTGGTCGACTTAACTGTCGATGTCACAGACTTAGATACTCTTTCCTAAATGTATAAATATGCATTATCTGTAAAGCATTCCGTTCCATTCCTTCCTTCCTTCATCTCTACTGTACTCGACCCCATAAACAACTTCATCTAACGGTGTTGTGTTCTTATATATAGGAGATCTGGGAATAGCATTCGGGGTCGTATCGTAATATCTGAATTCGGACATCGAGAGGATTTGAATAGCTACTTAGCAGCATTATAACAGGAACTTATTCAGTAATACTGCAATTAAGTCCCTGTAAACAGTTTTTCATCATAAAAATACTGTTGAAATCTCTACTTGTACAGTCAGCCAGATCGGTGTTGTTTTTTGAGATTTCACGTTACTGAATGGAGACCGAATAGAAGCATAGATCAGCCTTAGCCAATTGACTGTTAAAGCGAGCCTTTATGACAAGTAAATACTGTCTGGTTTTAGTCGGTGAGATAATCATTTTCGATGACTTAAGAACATAAGTGAGGTGGCTCAAATTTGGTTGAAATAGTAGTTAGATTTAATCTTTTCTTAAATCATACAATATAATGATACTTCAAACTTTTAACTTTCTTGTCTGATCCACTTTTTGAATCATATTCTCCATTTCTAGTCTTTCCTGCAATCTCTGATGCTGGTTAGATTTCAACTTCTATGCCGTTCCGCTGATTTGCTTCAAATAAACAAGACGATGTGATGTGACAAGTCGAGGACTTGGAGATTTAAGCAATATCTCACTTTGATCACAAACCACTAACTAACTGCCAGATAATTTCGAAAGTAATATTAACCGTGAATCTGTGGATTTCTTAGTGGGGATTCTGTTTCAACAAAATACACATGTCAGTGTGACATTTGAAAAACAATTGATAATCAGTTTAGTTGCATTTTTTTTAAACACACGTATAAACTTGTGAACAGAATACCTCATTATAAAACTCACTGCTTAGATCTATTTCAAAAACTCCTATAGAGACAATTGTTTGCAACTGGACCTTTATATCTACTACATTCAACTTGTGAAAAATATTACTGATTTCATCCGATGTGAATTTAAGAATTTTAACTCCACATTCAGTAGCCCAGTAAAATACTGAAATAAAAATGAATAAACAAAATGATAATGTGCCAAGTCATCATGATTTTTCCCAAAGAATAAAACATAACTACTAGTAAGTTGACGTTTATCAAAATTAACTACATTGCAAGTGAACCAATCAGAGTAACGCCTATAGTTTCTCGAGGAAAAAATTGAAAACTAACTGATATATTTTTCTCGGAAATTATTTGTGAAGAATATTGTTTTCAAAATTGACGTGACAGAAAAAAATCTATCAAACAACTAGTTAGGGAATATCTAACTAATACTACCAGCATTAGTCGTATTATTTAAGCGTACAGAGCGATGAATACATTCAAATACTTCTCTATCAATGAGTAGATACTAGTCTTTGAAAACCAGTTTGTAATTCAGAGAATATATATCTTATTTCTTGAGTCTAACTCAAAGAATTTTGTAGACTGTTTGTTGTGATA